GCAGTGCGGGCAACACCACACCAAGGGTTGTGATCCCCTTACCGGTCACGAAAAAGACAAAAAAATAAATAAATAAAACAAAAAAAAAACAAAAGTAGACAAAAGGTTCACATTTTCCAAAAATACATTTTAAAAGTACACATTAGAATGGTGACTTAAAGAGGAGGAAAGGAGAATAAGTATGAATGAATAAGTAAAATGAGAGAAAAAAATGAATTAATTAATCAAGGGACTTGTGATGACAAGGTATCATGAACAAGGGAGTATAATTAATTCAACCCTCTATACTTGAGATGCAAACAGAATAGAGAAGAAGAGAGGAAAATTGCTCTGCATAGAAATGTGCATGTATTTATCTGCCACCATCCTCTCCCTGGCAACTGGGGCATTTGGGAAACACCAGCAGCAGACAGACATTATTTATGGCTCTATCTTATACCCCACAGGCACTGTATGCCCTGCGAGAAGCTTCAAGATGAAAGCAGCAAATTCAGAAGTGTCTCCAAAGGAATTCCCTTTTCCTATCTGCCCCTTCAAAACCTTCTGGCTCTCTGATAAAATGTTCGCATTCAAATTCCCACCAAAACATTTTCTAGAAAAGAAAATACTAGACTTCTGGAATCAAGACGTCAGACATTTTGAATTTGGTAAAAAGAGCAATGCCCCCCGTCTCAAATTCCTATCGGATCGACTTCTTACCTTTAAAAGAGTTTTGACTGTGGTACAAACAGAAACAAGGCTGCAGAACAATCAAGACCCTGGGCAATAGTGCCATCTGTGGCAGATGAGCCCTATGGATAGGTATGGGGTAAAACTGCAAATTACTGCTATCAAGAGATACCACAAGTACAATTTCAGCAGAGAAGGGGAGCTAAGAAGTTGTATGATGTGGAAAAGGGATGCTAATACCAAAAAAAAAAAGGCGAGGAAGCACCAACCCAGGCCACTACTCTGGTTTTGCCAGCTTGGAAATTGGTGAATAATGATACCATACAAAAATAATTCCTATGTATACTACTCCTGAAAAAGTGGTCAATATTTTTCAACCCATTTTTTTCTCTCCTGTTCGCTAGATGAAAGGGTAAGCAATTAAAGAATCATTAGACACCCAAGACAAGCAACTCACCTCACTCTGTGAAGAACAGGATACCAAAAGCAAAATGCTCCAAGTGTCTGTGTGTTCCAAAATGGAACTCTTTGTACTGTTCATTTCTTAAAACAGGTAGATAGATATCCTCGTGTTTAACAATAGAGCCTTCAGAGTCAGACAGAACTTAGACTAAATTGTGTCCCCTGAGCTTATTAGCCTCAATTTCCTTATCTACAAAGTCAGTCAAAAATACCTTTCTCAGGGCCGGCCCAGTGGCGCACTGGAGAGTGCGCCGCTTAGGAGCACGGCGGCGCTCCCGCCGAGGGTTCGGATCCCATGTGGAGACCGGTTCC